TCGGAGCCCCCGGGCTCCCCGAGCCGCGGCTGGACCTTCCCCGCCGCGCCGCGCGGGCACCTCCGCTCCCTGGCCGCTTGTCTTCTCTGAGCTCCACCCTGGGGCCTTCCATAGCTTTTGATCTTAGGACTGGCGCGTCCAATACCCAGGGGCTTCCTGGGGTCCGCCTGTCCCGCCTGCTCTAGACAACACCAAGTGAGCAAAATCAGGCTCATCCCTCCCTGGGGCAGCACTATACGGCAAGTAGGTGGGGGACAAGTAATTAAGTCGGTTCTTACCATTTTGTGGGGCGGCAGAGACAGCACCAAGCCTTTCCCACCCTTCCCCCACTCTGACTCCCGCAAACAAAGTCAAACAAAAACCAGCCACCCCAGTCTGGCCTCCACCGAAAGTCTGAGGGCAAAAGACCCACTCAGGGACAGAAATGGGGCTGGCCCTTCCTGCCCTGGCCTGGCCACCACTGCTCCATCACTCCCAGACCCAGTCGGTACCCTGGGACACTTAAGGACCTTGGCGTATAATGGAGGCCACCTCTGCCTCGCTCAGCAGATTCAAGAATTCAGTCAACAAATATTTATTGAGAGCGGACTATGTACGTGCGACCAAAGCTGCCAGCCCTGTGCTAAGCCCCCAAGAGAATGTGAAAGGATTCTCTTTTTGTCCAAGCAGTGCCCACCCCCCGCGGGACTCCTGAGGCTCAGCTTCCCTGAGGAGGCCTTTATCCAGAACAGCTTGGGAGGCCCTAGTAAACAGGGCAGACACCGCCATGCCCGGGGCCTGGGAATGGGGGCCCTGCCTGAACCCTGCTTCCCAGCCTTGGCGATGCAGCAGGGAGGGGCGGTGCTGAGCTCCCGGTGAACATGGGGTGGGGTCTCAGGGTTCTTTCTGCTTCTTTTTTTTTTTTTTTTAAGATTTTATTTATTTATTTGAGAGAGAGAATGAGATAGAGAGAGCACATGAGAGGGGGGAGGGTCAGAGGGAGAAGCAGACCCCCCGCCGAGCAGGGAGCCCGTTGCGGGACTCGATCCCGGGACTCCGGGATCATGACCTGAGCCGAAGGCAGTCGCTTAACCAACTGAGCCACCCAGGCGCCCGTTCTTTCTGCTTCTGGGCAACCTTTCCCCGAAGCCTCTCCTCCAGGCCTGCAGGGACTGGGGCAAGGGAAGAGAAGGGCCTGGAGGGGTGGAGACCTGGGAGAGGTGAGAGGGCGACAGCCCAAGGTGGCCAGGGCAGAGAGCAAACTACGGGGCCCGAGGTGGGTGCGTGCAGTGCGCCGGGGCGTCAGGACTTGGTGGGGAAGAGCAGGCAGGTGAGCTGACGGCGGCGGCTGTGTCTGTCGACAAGGGGCAGGGGCTGCTGTGTGTAGTGCTGGACCATGGCTGCCACGGAGGGGAACAGCTAGACAGGACGAGGGACAGTAGTGAGTCCCCCGAGCCTCATGCTGGGAGAAACTTCCTGAAGAAACTCTGGCATTTTTCTAAATCCTTTCCGTCAGATTTGCCCCATGAAGTTCCATGGCCACTTTGTGCCCCATTCCAGGGCTCGCGCAACTTTCTCACAACTGCACCCGCGGGCGTGCTGTTAGCCAGGCCAGGTAGAAATAACTCTGGGGCCCTGCCTCTGCCTGGGTCCCCCAGGATGGGGACCTCAGCAAGTGCCGGGCACAAAGTCGAGTTCTTGGACCGGACAGGAGTCTGGACTACCTGGGCCCTGCTCTCCTCCTAGCTGGGGTCAAGGCAGGCACAAATCCCCAACACCCCGGGTCCTGGGCAGACTGAGCCCTACAGGAGGGGGTGCCTCCCCAAGAGGAAGGCAGACCTCTGAGAAGGAATTCAAGTCACTGGCCTCTGTAATGTCTACCCAGTCCAGAAAAACTGCAAAATGTGGGTTTTCCCCTGGACAAATGCACCCGGCTGGGCCCAGCACATGGCTCTGCTCTGCCCTCTTGCCTGCTAGTCCCTGTCCTCCTCCAGCACCTACCTCCTCGTGGTTCCTGCCCTCCCGGCCCAGGGCATAGTGGCTCCCACCATCCAGCCGCCGGATGGGAATGTTGAAGACCCGGCCATGGAGAAGCACCGCCAGGGTGAGGGGCTGGGAGCCATGAGGCTCTGAGCTGGGGCGCACAGTGTAGGCCCCATCCTGCGCAGGAGACCCCATCTGTCAACCTGCAGCCCTGGCCCACAGATGGCCAGCAACCCCCACCCCGCCCTCCCATCCCCAGCTGCTCAGCCAACCACCCCCCATGAGCAGATGGGTTTCCGCAAAGGCCCAAGGGGGCTGCAGTTGCCCACCTTTTGGAATCGGAGCAGGGCACTCTCAACGGCATGGCGGTCACAGTTTCCTGAGTACCAGGGCTGACCCAGCAGGCTGCCGTCCTGTACATACACATGCAGCCATTCAGGGATGTGCCAGGGCACTGGAGAGGGGCTGGGGGGCAGGGAACCCTGGGCTGCTGTAATTTGTGTTCATATCTGCCTTCCCTGGCCGGAGTCTGCGCCAACAGAACAAAGGTGTGTCCCCGCCCGCTGTCCAACATGGTGTGGCACACACGGTCAGTGTGTTCCTTGCAATGGCAGCCGCCAGCCCGAGAGGGCTCTCTGTCGGCCTCCTCCCAGCCCTCTCCCAGCCCCTCCTCACCTCAGCAGCTGAGGTGCTCCAGGTGGGTGCTCTAGAGGAAAGAGAGGCTCTCCTTCCTGCTGGTAGAAGCAGATTACAGAGTTGAGGCGGGGAGGGGATTAGGCAAAGAAAGCTTTGGGCCCAGCTGCAGAGGTGCGGGAGGTTAGAGGGCTGTGCACAGAGGCCTGAAGCCCAAAGCAGGACACTACTGAGTGTCCTTCACCTCTCCTCTCCCAGGTCCCGGGCTCTGGTAGAACCTATCAGCTAGGCCATGTGTGACTTCCAAATGAGGGGTGATCTTGAGGTACAAGCTGGGAGTTTCCCGCTTTGGTGAAGACCCTAGAAATTGCCCAGTGGGATCCCCTCAGGCCTGCTCTCAGCTGAAGTCAGAGCTGCAAGGACTCCCACAGCAAAGTGGGGCATGAGGGGCGGGCAGGGGAGTGGGGAGCAGAGTTTGTGGCCTGCAGGACTGTGGCTGGGGTGGGCTGGCAGGACTGCCTGAGGTTCATGCAGAAGATGCCTGTACTCACCTTTAGGGGTGGCATTCGCTGCTCCCTGAGTCACAGAAAGGCTGGTCAGAAGAGACTTGGGCCCATAGCCCCATCCCCCGGGCAATGAAGTCTCCCCCTGAGCATCCCCCCACCCCAGGTCACTTCTCCCCTGGCTACTAGCCTCTTACATTCTGAGCTTCCTGGGGGGTTACTGTGGGCCTGTGGGGGCAAGTTGGGGAAGAGAGCTCAGGTTTTACCTCCTTTAAGAGAAAGAGCCCAGTGCATCCAGAGATCGCAGGGTCAGAGCTGGGGAAGCCTGAATTGGCCATCTTGTGCACACACACACACACACACACACCCCTGGGGGGCACTCACCTGGGCACCAATGATACCCTTGGCAGAGAGATTGGGGGTGTCAGGACTTGGGAGCTCAGAATCTGAGTCAAGGCCAGGACTGAAAGAGGGAGGGCAGGCTGGGCTGGGCTGGGCACCAGGCAGGAGACCCACGCTGACCAGGGAGGGGTGAGATGCCCGCAGGCCCTGCTGCTTCTCAGCAGCCTGGGCTCTCTGGGAGTCCTTCCAACCAGAGGGAGAGCTGTCCTGCCATAAGAGCTGGGAAGCCCCATGCAGCCCTTGCTTAAGTCCCCCCTACTAGGCAGAGTGGGGGGCAACCTGGACTAAAGGCTGAAGCATGGGTGTCCCTGTGGCTGTCTGAAGGCAAATGTGTATTGGTAGAATGGTGAGGGAAGACAAGGGAAGAAGATGGAGCCAGAATGTGTCCTGTTTTGAACAGCTGAGGGCCCCAGGGCAGGAGGGAGCTGGGACAGAGGGAGATGTTCACCTGGACTGGGCTCACACTCCAGGTAGAGGTTCTCTTCAGATTTCTTTGGAAGGCCTGGCACCTAAGGGTTTGACCAGCAAGTGGGAGAGAGGGTGAATCCATCATTTGGGGGGGGGCGGCTATGGGCACCTTCTTCCCCACCTCACAAGGTGGACCTCTTTCTGAGAGCTAGCTGGCATGATTCAAGTTGCTCCTTTGCCTGGGGAGGAGCATGCATGAGTGCCTTCCCCTTCAGAGCTGCCTGTAGGCCCCAGCTCTCCTAGAATGTGGCATCCAGGAGGAGGTCTGGGCCAGACCTTCCCCAGTAGCGCTGGACGGCACAGATAGCCGGCTTACACCCTGTCAGGGGCCCGTGGTGAACAGGGAGCCACTCTGCTCTGAACCTTTTTCCTTGGTTTCAGAGATATTTCCTGACCCTCCCAGGCCTGCTACCCTAACTCTGCCAACTTCCTAGCCAGAACCCTAGAGGGTGAGTGGAGGGGTGGGGGGGACAGAGGGGCCACTCACCACTCTGGCCGGTGTAGCCAGCTCTGGAAGGAAAAGGAGAAACCACCAGTCAGAAGCGCAGGGAGAAAGGAATTCAGTAAGACTTAGGCTGGAGGAGTGGAGTGTCCTCTGATCCTATCTGAGGGCATCCTCCGAGCCAGCGTTGAAGTCCCAGGAGAAAGCCACCCTGAGCTCTGATTGCCCCACTTCACAACCCCGGGGGTGTTGCCCGGCTTGACCTCCCAAACCATTTGCAAGGCTTGCTCCAAACGACTTCAGGCTGTTCCAAAAGTCAAAACTACCCCCAAGCTCATGAAGGCTTACTAACCACTGAGCACAGTAAACACGCACGTGCCTCCGATTAGCTGTTTGACCTGAGGCAGGAGACTGCCCCTCTTGGGCCCTTCCCAGACAAAAACACACTGACTGAGGTCCCTCACTATCCCGACATCCCAGGGTTCTGGGTTCACAGGCCTCAGGGACTTAGCGCAGGCAGAGTCTCTGGACAGTGATAGCAATAACGACAAGGCTGGAATCAGAGACTGGTGGCCAAAGGGCCCCTTTGATGGGGGTTGACACTCAGATGTGTTTCAATAGTGAAGGCTGCCCTTCAGAACTCCTCATCCTGGAGTGTCCCTTGCCTGCCCCGGGGACCACAGCAGATGCACAACAGGACCTGGGAGTCAGGGACTCTGCTGCTCTGTGATCTCAGGCAAAGCATTTCCGGGCTCCAGCCCTCAGTCTCCTCCTGAACTGTCTGCCCTAGCGGGGATGGGGAATCAGCAGGTCAAAAAACGAGGACCCCCCCCCAGGCGGGGGGGAGTGCAGTGACCAGGCAAAGCCTGAAACCAAGTAGCCTGAGCTCAGGTCTACCCTGAGGGGGCCAGGATTCCCCACCTCAGGGTGGGCACTGAGCGGGCCTCGGAAAGAGACAGGACATCCTCGTTACCTTGCTTCCCCACGGGGAAGGGCTGTCCCTGCTTCCTAGCCTCCCGCAGGCTCAGGACCGCCTTCAGCTGTGGGCACAAGGGGCGGGAGGGAGAATAGGGTTAGGGGTGGGGGGGAGGGGAACTGAGGCAGGGGAAGGGCAAGGGGGGTGGGGTGCGGCGGGGTTATGGATGTCGGAGCAGCCTTGAAACCACCGCAGCACAAGAACTCATGTGCAGAGGTGACTCTTGGCCTCTGTCCTGTGGCACTTCCTTTGTTGTGAGTCTCTCCCTGTTTTTCTTTTTATTCCAGTAAAATCTATGATGAAAGTGGTAACGTCCGAGGCCGTAAGCTTCTCTCAGCACAGCGGGCTCTCGAGCTGGCAGCGACGATGGCAGGGTGGGGGATTTCTTCACTCTCTAGGCAGGGAGGGGTCGTCAGGCCCCAGGGTGCAGGGACGGGTAGCCGAGCCTGCCCGGCCTTCCCAGCTCCAGCTCCAGAGGAAGGGTGAGTCCTGGGGGATGCTGACAGGCAGGGCTGGGGGAGGGCCGGGTCGGGCAGGTGGGAGCAGCAAGGGCTAACTGGGCTCCGCTTCTGACACATCTTATTTTTCAGGGGCCTCTTGAATGCAAATATGGGGGAATCTTGCAAATGAGATGCCTCTTAGATTTACTCCCTGGGAAATGGTAGCCGGGTAGGGTGGGTGGGGAAGGAGGGACTTGGGGGGGGTGCTGTTCACCGTTGTGGCCTGGGGCTGCAGTGGTGGTGACTTGGAAGGGCCCAGGGGGCCAGGGTGATCTGGAAAAGGCCCCGGGCATCGTGGGTCGGTGGGTTCCTCCCATGTCAGTTCCCATTTTCCTCCCGCCCCCCCTCCCCCTCACTGGCTTCCCCCAGCCCCGTCTCCATGGCAACTGGAGGCGGCCAGCTTTCCTGCCCCCACCTGGCCTAGCGGAGGAGCCCTGGGGGTGGGATGCCAGCAGCAGCCGGGGCTCTCCTGGCATCCCTACCCTTGCTCTGAGAAGTGAGGGATCTCAGAGGAGGCCCCAGGGACCCTGTGGGGCCTCCTGCTTTCCCACGGTTGCCTTGGTTACAGTGCCCCTCCAGGCTCCTCTCCCTTTCTCACTCTTCCTCCTGCCTTTCTCCCTCCTCCCTCCGCCTTTCCTTCATCCTTCTCTCTCTCTGCCCAGCCCAGAAGCTTCCACAGCTGCCAGCTGAGGCCTCCCCTTGCCACCCCAGCACAGACAAAGGGAGAAGAGGCAAGACCTGCGCCCTCTTTCCTCGTGGGGACCCTCTGTCCTGCCTGACCACCCAACTCCCTGCCTCAGCTCCCCAGCCCTTACCTAAGTACAAAGAGTCCTCTTCCTCGGTGTCAGGAAGGTGGGCTGGGGCAAGACTGAAGGGCAGAGCCTCACAGGGTGGCAGCTCATATTTATCTTCCTCATCTTCCTCCTCCTCCTGGGCTTTCCAGAAGGGACAGAAGAGGGGCAGGACCAGTGGTAGCCACTGTGGCCCACCTCCCTCCACCCCAGGCTCAGCAGCTGCACTTACCTCGAGTCTCCAGGTCCCCCGGGCGGGCCGAGGAGATGGGCTGGGGGCATCTTTGTTCCAGGCTGGGGAATCTGGACAGGGGACTGATGAGACTGGCCTCACCTTCCAGCGCCCCCCACCCCACAATGACTTACTCTCTTTCCCTGCTATAATAAGCCATCTGCTTTTTTACAGTGGGCCTCGCTGCTTCATTCGACTCGGAGGAGCCACTCATGATGAGCCTTTCCAACACGGCAGCAGGGCCAGTGAGGTCGGCATTTTGAAAATAAGGGGGCCACCGTCACTTACCTACACATCTGGGGGGTGGAGGGGGTGGCCCCGACCTGCAACCAGACTCTAGTCAACTCTGCCCAAGGGGCCAGACACTGCACCGCTCCCAGGACATTCACAGCAGCGACTATGTGAGTGGTGCCCCTTGGAGTTGTGTGCCAATAGCCTGGGACCAGGGCAGCAGGAAGAACAGTCTGGGGGCAGAGCTAGTGCCTGGTGGGGACACAGCTGGGTGAGCTGGTGCCCCAGTGAAGCCGGTAGTGAGGGAGCCCTAGTGCTCACAGTGGGGGGGAGGTAGGAGGATGGTCTCACTGGGCAAGTAGGGCTGTGCCCAGGAAAAGGGGCAGCGAGGTAGAGACAAGAGAGGAGGCAGAGGAAAGAGAGGAGCCAGAGTACTCACTCGCGCTTGCTTCCCCTGAGCTTGTCCTGGAAAGAATCGGGGGCGGGGGACATAAGGGGGTAGTCAGTGCTCCCCGGATGCCTCTCTCCGGGAAGCATCCTGGGCCCCCAGGGGTGATCTGTGCACCTGGGGCTGCCCCAGAACCAACTCTCACCATGGCCGGGCTGAAGGAGCTCTGATTCCTGGGAGCCTAGGCTCTACCACAGATGGCCTGGGGACAGAGGCCCTATTGTTCTCATCATTTGCATCTCACAGGCACCAGGAAGGTGGGTCTGCTGTGGCCTCTAACCTTGGACCAAGTTGCCCCATGAGGCTCCCATAAGCTCCCCCACGTTGCCTCCCACAGCTGCGGTCCCCGGTCTCCAACCCCTCTGCCCCACTGGAGGAAGAGCTCTCCCCTCTGCTCCGGGGCCTCAGGGCCACAGGGCTGGACCGGTGCTCAGAGGCTTCCCGCAGCTCTCTGATCGGTGCCCCCTCATCCCGGAGGCTCCAGCTCGCCCCGCGATCAGCCAGACTGTCCTTTCCCAACTCACAGAACATAGGACATGAAGGGGCAGGTCCAGTTGAAAATGGGAGACTGTCCTTGCACTTTTCTTAAACGCTTTATGCTTGCTGTCCTTTCCTGGTGAATGGTGACCAATAATCAAAGAAATAGAGGTTAGTGAAAAGCTCAGTAATATGCATGTGTATTTAGTTTGACAGCTTCCTTTGTGGATGGCTGTATTTATTCATTGAGTAAGTATTTATTGAATGTCCTCTCTATGCCAGGCACTGTTCCAGGTGCTGAAGATGTTATAGAAAAACCCAAGGAGGCATGTGTATTTCCTGCTGGATCCTCACAATAGCCTCATGATGCAAATGCTAGTTTTATCCTTGTGTTTCAGATGAGGGAAGTGAGCGTATTAGTCAGAGCAGGCTCATCACGGAATACCAATGATGCGGTGGCTTGAACAACAGAAACGTCTTTTCTCTTCTGGAGGCCAGAAGCCCAAGATCAGTGTGCCATCAGGATTCATTTCTGGGGAGAGATCGCTTCCTGGCTTGCAGACGGTCACCTTCTCGCTGTGTCCTCACATGGCCTAGACTCTGTGCAGGCCTGGAGAGAGATGTCTCTGATCCCTGCTTAGAAAGACACCTGTCTGATGGAATCAGGCCTCCACCTTTGTGACCTCATTTAACCTTAGTGACCTCCCTCAAGAGCCTGTCTTCAAATCCAATCACAGTGGGCAGTAGGGCTTCACCAGATGCGTGGAGGAGGGACAAATGCAGTCCAAATCTCAGAGGTTTTGAGGAATTAAGTGGCTTTCCCAAGGTCAGACAATCCCACCCAGGGTTTGCCCAACCCACAGCCTGTGCACTAACCAGTGGGCACTCCTGTATCGCATCTGGGGTTGAGTCCTTACCCTCCTTTCCTATGACGGAATTAGACAAAGCAGGAAACATGGCTTCCTGAAGCCTGAAGGAGCCCATGACTTCCAGGTGTTCTGTTACTCGAGTGACTTCTGGAACTTTAATATCTGAGAAGTGTTGGGGGAAGGGCCTGGGGTCTGACTTTGTTTAAAACAGGGACTAAGGAAACACAGATGAGGATCATGAACGTAAGACCTTTCTAGGGCACTGTAACTTTACTATGTCTGTTATTTTGGTGATGTTCTGGCTGTTGGCAGAAAGAAGTGAAGGCCAGGTGCTTACACCTTTGGAGGCCACGCGGCTGGGACACAAGGGAGAAAGCCCCACGGCTGGAGCTGGCCACAGCCTTCAGAGAGGAAGACCAGATGATTCCTGGGACCTGTGGGTCAATGGGCACTTCAGAAGCTATGAAAAATCAGTGGGATGGCTTAACACAGAGCCCATGTGGTAGAATGGGAAACACTGAGAAAACAGAAACAGAGGGGGCGCCTGGGTGGCTCAGTCGTTAAGCATCTGCCTTCGGCTCAGGTCATGATCCCAGGGTCCTGGGATCGAGCCCCGCATCGGGCTCCTCGCTCTGCAGGAGGCCTGCTTCTCCCTCTCCCACTCCCCCTGCTTGTGTTCCCTCTCTCGCTATATCTATCTCTGTCAAATGAATAAATAAAAAATCTTTAAAAAAAAGAAAAGAAAACAGAAACAGAGAAACAATCCAGGCCTGGGTCAGGAAGGACAGGAGGCTCCTCCCTGACCTCCCCTCCACATTTGACCTTTGTTCCACATTTGGACCGTAATGCAAGGGGCAAGCTCCCTTACCAAGGGGACCTCCTATGGGACAGGGTCAGCAGGTCCAAGTCAGCAGGAGGCTCTAGACACCACCCCACTGCTCTAGATACCCAAACTGAGTGGGTTTCCAGTCAGTACCCAGCCGCCTGCCACCCCCCCCCCATTCTGGGCTTTGCATAGGCAAATTCTAGGACCTGAGTGAGTGAAAGGGCCCCAAGCACAGAGGATGGAATTGTGCCATCTGGGTGGGGGCACTCGCCAGGACAGATCAGGGAGAAGGGGGGGGGGCGGAAGGAGGTCTGCCTCATGGCTTTGTCTCACCCTGACCGGCCTTCTGTGGGGTGAGGACTGTGCTTCTTCCTAAGTACACAGGCAGATTTGGACAACCTCTTTCTCCTCTGGTACAGGAGTGCTCTGTGCAGAACCGTAGCTCTTCCCTCGGGATGAATCCCTAGAAGTGGACTTGCTGGAAGCTCACATTTTGGTTGCAAGGCTCCATTGTCGGGTAGCCCCTGAGTGCCTGTTTTAATATCCTTCCATGGCACGCAGTGATGCTCCACATTTTCTGGGCCTCAGCTGCTGATCTCCAATGAGAACAGACTGTAATTTGCAGGCCCAAGGTAAATCCACCCTAAGAAAACAGACAGCTCTCTGGGGCAGTGCCCCCCCCATTTGCATGATCACAAGCATCGCTGGAGAGCTTGTTAAAAGCCCTTGTTCCCAGACCTTCCCTGAGATCTTTTTTTTTTTTTGATAGAGAGAGAGAGAGTGCGCGTGTGCGTGTGTAAGCAGGGGGAGCGGCAGGCGGAATGTTGCCTGAGATCTTAAGGATTGTCTGCTCCAGGAGGGAATTGGGACTCTATATTATTATTATCTTAAAGATTTATTTATTTGAGAGAGAGCACACACGTGTAAGCAGTAGCGAGGGGCAGAGGGAGAGGGAGAGAAGCGGACTTTGAGCTGAGTGCAGAGCCCAACGCAGGGCTTGATCCCATGACCCTTGAGATCATGACCTGAGCCGAAACCAAGAGTGGGACGCTTAACCAACTGAGCTGCCTAGGTGCCCAGGACTCTATATTATTTTTAACAAACATCCTAGGTTAATTTTATGATCATTTTTGGGAAATGCTGTCCACAGGAAACAGTCTGAGGACATGTGACTTCTAAGACATTTTTAGAATCCCATATGGACTTTTGCTCGTTCAGAACACAGAGGTCCCCAGCAGAGAGAGAACGTGACACAGACAGTGCTCTCAAGGGGCCCCTCCGAGTGATGGAGAGGGCACCCCCCAAGGAGATGTCCAATCTCTGAGTTTCGGTTTCCTCTTGCGTAAATGGGGATGTCAGTAGGCAGTCCTCTTGGCGGGGGAGCTTCTGAGGTCAAATGAGGGGACGGCACAAGAAACACACCGCAGCCGCACCATAAAATATCAGCTCTCCCTGAGACAGCGGTGTCGTGCCTCACGAGGTCGTTGCCAGCTGACAGGGCGGGTGGCGAGGTCTAGCCGGGATCCCTGGTGTGGCGAAGCGGGAAGTACTGTGAGGAGGAGGGCGTGGTTCCCGAGGACCCGGAGGAGGAAAGTAAGCAGGCTATGGCCAGAGGTCTCAGGGGTGAGGGAGGGCAGCGTGTGGGGCAGGAGCCCTGAGATGGGGTGGCCGGACTCCTGGAGAATGGAAGGGGACATGTGCCATTCTTTCTGACTGGTGAGCATGTCCTGCATTTGGGGCATTCTCCATCTTCCGAATCCTGGTTCCAGCCGTAGGAGCCCCATGAGGCCTTCCCAGCCTCCCTTGCAGCTGGGGTGCAGGCATTCAGCTAGCCACATGCCCTCGTGTCAGACTTTGTATCTGAAGCAGGCACCAAGAGGAACCCACCCTGGGGAGGGGATGACAGCTGTATCCTATTTCCAGAGGCTGGGGGTTGAGATGCTAGTGGTATGACCAGGGCCCAGGTTAGCGGTGTTGGCAAAGAGAGGTGTCTGTGCCCAGGGGTGCCTCCACCGGGTCAACTTGGCCATGACCTTTGGTTCATTGTTCCTGGGGGTTTCGCTGGTCCTCCCGGAGACGCTGCGAGCTACTGAATATTTTTAATAAATTATTTTTCAGCCTAAACTAGCTAGGGTGGGTTTGTCTTACTTTCACTTAAGAACTCTAGAGTTCAGGGGCGCCTGGGTGGCTCAGTCGTTAAGCGTCTGCCTTCGGCTCAGGTCATGATCCCAGGGTCCTGGGATCGAGCCCCGCGTCGGGCTCCCTGCTCAGCGGGGAGCCTGCTTCTCCCTCTCCCTCTGCCTGCTGCTCTGCCTACTTGTGCTCTCTCCCTACCTCTGTTAAATAAATAAATAAAAATCTTTAAAAAAATAAAATAAAAAAGAACTCTAGAGTTGAAACTGCAGAAGCCCAACTGCGAGGCCAGATGTGGGTGTCTCCTAGAAAGGCGAGACCAGGTAGAGGTGAGACCGTGGCGTGGGACAGCCCGAACATGCAGGGCTGGGGAGGGGAGACCTGCAAGTGATAAACAAGGTCCTGTGAGGGGTCAGGGAGAATGAGTCCTTAAGATATTTTTACCTGAGCAGGTGGAGCCTGAGGCCAATCAAACTCTGTGGTTGGATTAAAGCGAAGGTCAGGGACCCGCCCTCTCTCTCCCTAAAACAAAGAGAAGAGTCCTTTTTTCTTTTTTACTGTTTTGCTGTACATGAAGAGTGCCCTCGCTCGGTTATATTCTCTAAGGACTCAGTAAAGATCTAAATGTCTTCCAACTGAAATGTCCTTAAGTCAACAGGGTGCAGAGGGGCAACACCCGTCCTGTTGTAACCTCAGAGAGAAGGGGAGTGAGTCCGTGGGGGAAAATGGAGGTGATACCAAGCTTGGTGTGTAGTAGGTCTCTGTGTTTTTTCTGGAGGCCAGAACACTAGTTTCCCTCAGATTTTCCAAGGGTTAGGGTGGGGGCTGATGGCTGATGCCAGCTTCCTGGGTCTCTAGGGTGAAGTGCACGAGCTG